TTTGCTTCGAAATTCGAAGAATTCTATTACTCGATGGCCGATTTTACATTACTCCATTGGATACGATATTCTTTCCTTCCTACCACTTTCGTCTCTCGCGTAAAACTCTCTCATCCACTCTTCGAGCTGCCCTTTTAACAGCTAGGTCCTCTTTGTCAATCCGCTGTGCAGATCAAGCCGATCGACACTTCGTTTCGCGACTCCAGTTGTCGCTGCTACGTGCTCGTCACTTACGTCGCCTTATCGGTAACCGGAAGTCGCCTACTCTTACAGATGGTACGACAAATAGATGATGCAGCATTTAACACTATGCCATCCGGTGACACCACGTTGGTGTCATGCGAAAACTATCGGGCAAATACCGATGACAGCACGTTGGTATCGTGATGAGTCAGCGTCAAACAAAAGATTCCCGATTCGACGTGTGGACGTCATAGTGTTAATAGAGAAATAAGTTTCCAAGGAATAAGCCGAGATTTGAGCGATGAACGCGTTAAATCTGTCGAAGCTCGTATCCAGAAGGTGCCCTTTAAGAAAGAACTTCTTCGATTCCTGCGCAATCACTGGCGAGATACGCACAGGGTTTCAACCCCTTCGAAGACGACACTCGACCCGGGGAATATAGCGTTTGCTCTCGCGGGCTAGACTTATGAAAATACGGATCCCACGTCGGATTGACGGCCACCCTCGGGGTCGAAAGTCGAGGATTATTACGCTCGACGTCGACGTCTGACAGTTGACGGTTCCCTCGCTCCCAGTCTCCACGGTTCGACCTTTCCGGGTGCATCTCTGCAGCAACGGGGCGTCGATTAAGTCGATTGCCAGCCACTCGGAGCTATCTAGCGATCAGCACGAATCGCAGACGTCGGCGAGGACGTCTGAAGGAGTCGAACTCGAGCTTATCCAGCGCGACTCGCTTCTGGCACGTGATCAAGCCTGACGGAGTCGCGCGAACGGGCTGAGGGAACAGATGTCGGGACGGTTCGCTTGGGAATGTTTACGCGGGCTGGATTTTATATCCGAGAGACATACGACGCACACGTGCAGCACGACGGCCCCTTTGTCGTGCCAGCGATTCGACGTTTAAACAAACTCCGCGAAAGTAGAGACGCGCGCGGTGTTAATGACGCCGCGACCCGTACAAAGCCGTGACAAATTGCAACGATCACTGCAGCGACTTGTTGTGATGGACGCGTCTCGCTGTGACTCGCGACACTCGCGATTTGCTCGCAACTATGCGACGTGGAACGATGCCGGGCGAGATGGAGCTTCGGAATCGAGGGAGTATTCTACGACCCGCGGTGGTCCGTTGTCCCTCTGTGATTTTATTCGATTACGAGGAAGGGGAGTAATTGGCTGCAGCTTGGCCATTCGGACGCTGCGAGCTGGGAATAATTGTTATAAATGAAGCGATCATCGCTGGGACGAATGGTGCGACAAATTAGGGAAGAATGCGCGCGGAGCGTGCAGGCAACTGTCAATCGGTATTGCGCGAGTCGATGTACGATATCTTCTTTGTCAACGCAATTATCCAATCGCGTGCCTCTGTTTCGAACAGCTAACCCACGATTCCTCCATATTTTAACGCGATAAATCACGTATATACGCGAGGGAAGAAAGCGACTTCACCCTTGAGCAAGACTCTGCCAACCCTGGCCCGGCAGGAAATTCCGAAGCCGATCAAAGTTAGCCAGCCGTGTATAGTCTACACGCGAAGTTAGGTTCACTGGGGCCGGCGAGAATCGAAGGTGGCCGGAATCCCGAGGCCCGGGTCTTGGAATGCGTCGAATTCGCCGGAAATTCTGAACTGTACGAGGACCACGCGTGACGCGGCCAGCGCGACTGACTCATTTCAATTAAAAAATTACGCCGCTGGATTCCGTGGATTCTCAAGGTGCTGACCCTCGCGTGAAATTCCGGCGAGCTGGCCCGAAATCGGCACGGTATGCCAGCCGCGCCATAACGCTTTAATTGTCGCTCGGTTATGTTAATACGTCGACAATTTCATCAGCGGTGCGCGCGTACCTAATGGATCTGCGGATAATTGGAAGGGAGGAGGGTTCATGGGGATTCGAGGGAGGCAACGGACCGATGACAATGCCATAACGCAAGAGGGCTTTCGCGTAACGATTCTCCCACCCTGGACACGCTCGTGCGCTGCTCCTACTGTCGTCGACAATATGCAGGGAACGCGCACACGCGTGCAGGCGTACACGATCGTCGGACGTTTGCGCGGTGAACGTACACGTTTGGATAGATGTTATTGTTATCGGAGGGCAATTCGATTGCATGCTCCCGCGAAGTAAGGAATTACCCGGGCCGACTCGCGATTTCCATCGAGAACGACGCGGTGGATACGAATTGCCATAATTAAGCGGCAGTTAGTAGCGGGGGTGAAAAAACGCGTGAATCAGATGGTGCATCGAATAGTACGTTCTGAAAATAAAGCACTTTCTACACGCCTCGTTCCCACGAATCAGCCGCGTGATTCATGCGAATGGAACGGAGAGTAGCTCTTTCCATAAGCAAGATGGAGAAAAAGCGATAGAGACGAAGTCGCTGCCGCGCGATGGGAAATGATCGCGAGCTCGCTCCACTTCCTTCCTCCACACTGACACACGCGTTTACGTGTTATCCGCGAGATCATTCCAATTCTGCATCGCGGTCTTTCGAAACTGCACGGGTACGTAATCCGATGAACGCGAGAGCGAAATTCTTTTTCCAACTCTGGCAAGGATTTATAAAATCATTCGGAAGACAGAGGAGACATGACACCTGGCCGCGACTCGCGTGAAAGAAGGAGCAGAGGAACTCGAAAGGTTTCGCGTGATCCGGGACACGCGCGGCAGCCGGTAGCCACCAATCACGGGCAACCGAGCAGGCCTGGTACCGCGGTTTGCTCCTTTTCTCGCGGCAGCTTCGCGAATCATGTCCAGTGGCGCACGCAAGGCGGACTCAGGCGTGTCGCGTGGCTTCGCGTAGCGCAGAGAGCTCGAACGCTGAATCGAATACGCGAAACCGAACGCGACTACCGCTCGGTGCCCGCTCCCACCCTCTCGGCCCACTTGGGTGCGTGCAGCACGCGCCTGTGTGCAAGCCGGCGCTACGCGTGCACCGGCGGAGCCGCGCGCAGACCGCAATCCGACCGACGTACAACATGTTTATGTATCGCAGGCAACATTAACATTGCAATTTATGCGCGCTTTAACTGGCCCGCAGCCCTTCCACCCCCGCCCTCCGCCGCTCCGCAGCCGGCTGGTCCGCTTAACACGACCGCGAATTTACCAACGCGGTTCGACGTACAAGTTCACTCACCGCAGGAGGGCCGGCTATCTCTGCTCCCTCGTCGCCACGGTTTCCCTTCCTCGCCTAGGCTTCCGCGCGCACCACCCTCTGTATTTTCCTCGATTTCGTTACTTATCGTTTCCGTCCGTCGCCAGCGCCGACTTACGATCCGCTCGCTTATTAAATCTCGTGCAACCACCGCTATACCCCTCGCTCTCGCGCGTTCGACTCGGCTCCGCTCGGTTCACAGACGCGATGAAATGCGCGGGTCGTACAGGTCGAGATTCGAGAGAATTCTCTGCAACGACGGGTAATTTCACCCCGAACCCTCGCGGGTTCGACGCTGTTTATCGGCGTCGGGATTCTGCCCGGTTCTTACGTCGCTTAACCGCTCGCATCCTTCAAAATGCCCGCGCGAGCCCGCTCGGCGATTCCCATCGTTAGACGCGGAGCGTCGCGATAAATTTCAATCCTCGCCGAGCGTTCAGCTCGCAAGAACGCCTCGCCACCTTCCCACCCTTGGCCCTTCGCTCTCGTGTGCTTCGACAAAAACCCCAGCCCGCCCACTCCATTAAACATTCGGCCGGGCCGGGCGTAGATTTATTTCTTTCTAAAACTGTTACGTGTATCGCGGAGAGGCCGAGGCGCGTAAGCAGACCGAAACGTCGGGGCCCCATTCGTCTTTCGCGATCCCGGTCGCTGGCTGACGCGCGCTTTCAGCCACGGGGGTGTGCGAAATACCACGTTTCGTTGGTCACCCCCGCTGCGTGGCTCGATTTCACGAACGAGTACGTAAGAGCCGGCAACTTTGCAAGTTTCTCGGCCTGTTTACCTGACGGCCGAGGGTCGACTCGGTATCCCAAGTCAATGGGATGGAAAGCAAGCGGAGTAGAAAGCGTGGTTGAAATGCGCCGGGTCTCTAGGAAGCATCGCGAGGGATCTCGGTTCTCGCGCGGTTTTTATCGGCCGACCCGAACGGGCACAGCCTGTTACCACCGCGAGAATTATGGTCTCCGATGTAAACACGTATTTCCACCTCGCACGAGCGAGGAGCAGAACGGTGGGATCGATTTTCTGCCACCGGGACGTGTAACATACGCCGCCGAAGACAACCGTTCGATCCGCTCCGGTACGCTTCGCGTCTACCGGTTGCTGTACCTCGTTGGGAATCAATTGGCTGGTTAAGGATCTCGGCTAGCTCTACCCACCGTGGTTATCTATTCCGTCCCTCGTATCTTATTATTCTCTCCATTTTTACCACGGTGCGCTGATTTTTACCTCCTTCGTAATAGAATCGTGGCACTCGAGGACGCCATATATCTCGAGTATTATTCACGGCGAAAGTATGGAACGTACGCTTTTGAAATCTAGCCAAGATTACCGGTAAAATTAGACGCGAGTGACGCCGCGTAAAAGCACCGACCTTGGACTTAACCTCATTGGAACAGGGTTCACCGAAGTAGTCCCGCGAAATCCCGAAAATGCTCAGTCTCCGACACTCGTGACGCGTTCCAATCGAGCGGGGACAAGCCGTCCGAAGGTTCCCGGTAGCGCGACCGACAGTGCCCTGCCCGGTTTTTACCGAACCGTCGTCTCGCCGTCAATTAGGTCTAATCGAGAGCCGTCGATGAGGAGACGCGCAGCGAGCGACGCCTGAATAGTTAAACGGCGCGAATTCCGATCGAACATCCCGTCCCCTGCTCGCGTATACTCACATATGTCTATGGTTCGTCCTCCGCGGGGACAGAGGATCAATAGGTAGAAGATGAGGCACGTGTGCAGGTAGTCCATGGTGGCGTCGATGGATGGTCCGCTATCCAGTGGTCATCGAACTCTCATAACCGTATCTGCAAGAACACAGCGAGAGGCAGAGATGAGAAAGTAGCTCGCGACGAGGAAGCGTGTGGTAAAGAGGAAAAGGCGAGACGAGCGAGTGGGACGAAATCGCGGCGGGATCGTTACGGGGCACGCTAACATCGGCCTGTTGGCCTGTTGTAACTGGTGGAAGAAAGCGATTAAACGTAAGTTGCCGAGAATCAGGGAGCTCGGTCGGGGTACGAGGAAGGCGGAGGGGCCGAGGGCCAAGCCGAACGTAGAAAAACAGGCTGGAAAGGGCCATTTCGTGCTTTTCGCCGGGGTGAAATGGCGCGGCTCTCGCACCGGACAGATATACGACCGGTACAGCAGCCGCGGACAAAGAGCTACATTCACGCCAGCAGCCATTACGCGTCATTATCGAGATTAGGATCGGGAGTTCGGCCGGTGGAAAGAGCGGCAGAGGGGGCGGTAGAGGGAGAGGAGGATGGAAAAAGAGACGGTACTGCGTGAGATAACAGGGAGCGAGAAAGAACGTACGGAGAACGCCGTGGGGCCCTTTGGACTGGGCTGTTCTTCTCTTCAACGAGGGGGCGAACTCGTGTGTACCGGATGGCGATGGGGCTGGAGAAGGGTGAGCCACGCGAGGGAGCCAGGGAGGAGAGGAGGAGGAGGAGGTGGAGGAGGTGGAAGAGCAGGACTGTACTTTATTCACCGTGGTGCCGTCGTGGCGCGTAGCGGAGAAAAAAGCAAGGAGGGATCCTGGCGTGGAGAGCATAGGCGAGCCTTCACTTTTTGGCTAATTAACGGCAGTTTCTTCGACTACCGACTACTTTGCGATGCTTATCTCGCAAGTTTAGGGACCCCCTTTCGTGCGTGGCTCGTTATTCAACGACCCGTGGAAAAAATCCCGGCTCGATGACGCGTTTCTTGCCTCTTTGCTGGCTCTCCGCGCGTATCTCGCTGCCATCGCGAATAATCTCGAATCGTTGTTCGAGTGGACGCACGAGGCGACACGGATTCCGTCGGTAATTCTTCGGAGATGGTCGGAGCAGCGTGGAAAAAGGTTGAGAGCCGAGTGATTTTAATGAAGTCGTCGCCGAGAGATCGAGAGAACGATCGTCCCCGAGGAATCGTCCGGAGAATCCGTGGCCCTTGTTCCCCGCGTCTGCTCGTGTACGTTTCCGCGTGTGCGTCTGTCCGTGCGCGCGTGTGCGCGCGTGCGTGTATCGGCCATTGGAGAACGGCATTCTACTTAATCGGTAAATGGGGAAATTCCATCAAGATTCGGTGAATGCGACTGCGACAGCTCCATAGAGGCGCATAATCGATTAAGTGGCTGAATCGGATTATCCGACCGGCAATTAAGATACCATTCAGCATGAAGCGGTTACGTTGGTACCGGTGTCGGGGATAGCACGATCACAATGCGGAGGATCGATTAGTCGACGCAGTAATTAAGGTCATAGGGTGCATCGAAGCTCGAGTTACTCGAGTCGGTGCAACGGACCGTGTCGGAGACTCGTGCACTCGTTCTGTTCGCGGGGCTGCTTGAATTCAGCGTGACGCGCGATTAATCATTGGTCACGGGCGCAGGATCTATTAGAACGCTTCGTGTTTAACGTACCGTTCTGTTCTACTCTCGCGAGTGCGATATCGATCCCGTCCGTCTGATTTTCGCGTTACCGTCGCGTCGGCCTAGTAGGGCGGTCATCGGGCCGGCGGTCATCGGGGGTGGAGGGTAACTGTGCAATTTCGAGGGGCAGCGCAGTAATTTCGGTCGAAAATAACGCGTGCCTGCGAATTTCTCCGAGTTTCGTCCGATTTGTATAAATTTCGATCGCGGACCTATATCCAGGGCGACCCGGCGGGGTCGCAGGAGGGGGTGAGTTTATAGTTAGTCGAAACGGGCACAGGGTTTGCGTTATTTCTAGCATTGGCGGCGACGTAACGTCTCCTGTAAATCTCTCGGGTCGCGATACGGCCTGGAAACGAAGAAATCACGTGGATTTAGTGGCCCCGTTTGTTCGCGATCCGTACGGATACGCACACAGCCATCTTTCATCCGCTGAAACACACCACCTACGACCGGGCGGCGACTTTTACCGCGAGTCGGCGCATAAAGTGCCCTTGTACGAACACTGGACGCTCGATTTCCACGTTACTCGCCTTTTCCCTCTCTTTAAATAACTCATCGCTCATACGGCCGACTCCTCCTTTTAGCATGTTCGACGTTCTTCCGCTGGTCGCGCGCTGATTTATGGCGCGGCCGAACAGAAGCTGGTTTTTCCTCCGAAACTAAATTAAAGTCGACGGAATGCGCGCCAGGTCTCCGCTCTTGCAAGATCCCTGCGATTAAATCCTCTTCCTACCCGAAAATCTATCGGCAAGCCAGAAGCCCTATCCCGGCGCTTCGCTGTCGGACCGTAATAAGATCTCGCGAAGACGAGGTTCGTAAGTCTCGTTCCACTAATTTCAACGCAATTAAAAGGGAGTCGCGTTCTTGCTCCCGGAGACCGTTTGCACGGTCGTTTTGCAGAACAGCCGCGATTTTCTTGAAAAGACACGACTCCCGTAACGGAGGCGGAGCAAAGGGGCCGTGAAAAAAGGTACCAGAACTCGCGTACAGGCATATAAACGAGCGTTCCGTTGCTCCCCGTGCTACGTTTCTGGATCGTTAAGCGGGACTAGTCGAGGAACTCTCGAGAACGGGCGAAAAATTTGTATCCAAACTAGTTTGGCCCGCGGAAAAATACGACGCACTCGTTGCCGTCGATAAATCCTGAACACGTCGCCCATCCCACTAGGAGTCGTAAGTTTTTTAATCATTTCTAACCGCCGCCTTCGAATCGTCCACGATCGTGCGTCGAAGGGAGAAAAGGGATATAACCGGCTACCATTTCCGATTCGATAATCACGATTTCGATGAAACCTCCCTTCGAATCTAACAACCCTCCGTTGCGTCGCGAGCGAGACTACCCCTGCAAGTTGACGAAACTTTTATTTTTCCCCGACATGTCTCATTAACCGCGATGCACGGGGAGGAAGCGTCTCGGAATGCGACCAGGTAAATTTAACCTTCGACGAGTAGAGCAGGGTTAAAATAAACCCGTTGCTGTCGGCAACTCGGTCTGCCGCTGAACCGTGATCAAATGACTCTTCGATACCACCAACGTGCCGTTCACGCGAATAGTTGCTCCATTCCTGGACAGGCTAACGAAGTCGCCGATAATTATTCAGACGTGCCATTCATATTCCGAGAAATATTCCAACGATAATTAACTCTCGGCGTATGGTTCCTCGTGAAACGATAAGGGGGTGTCTAAAGACCCCACACAGATGCTTGACACTCCCATCCTTATTCCACTACTACATCACTAACACTTCATCGCAGCTTCGTTGCAGTCGAAAAATAGCAGGGTCTCCAGAGACCCCGTTACCGTATCGCGAGGGTTGGAAAACGTCAAAAAATCGCACATTCTCCTATACCGAGATGTACATACATATCAAGGAAGTCTCTTCTCGTCTCGGAGGAAGCACGCTAGAATTAGCGTATTATTCCCACCCCGAATCTGGCGCGACTAATATGGCTGCCGGATCGTTAAGTGGCGGCTGGCGAAAACGAGACGCTCGAGTTCGCTCGAGAAAACTCGCGCGAGGGTGGCGGGAAAACGCGCGCTTTTCAACCCCGTGCGACGAGGGGGCAGGGGATTTACGAGGTCGGTCGGAGGAAGTGGTCGCGCGTGCCGTTCAAAGAGCAGCCGTTTCCATCTCGCGTAAATTTGCGCGCGAATTCGTGGAAAGGCGACGCTCTCGCGTGCGCGCACGCGCGTCTGCGCGTTTCGCCGGTTGAAAGAGAAAGAGGGGCGAAGGGAGAGCGAGTGGCCAGGCAAATTAAAAGTCGACGAAGTCGTCCGCGCGTAATTGCCGGGGCGCGACGCGACTTATTTTTGTAGACCCTCTCGTGGCGACGCCGACGCCGGCGAGAGGAGCGCGAGAGGAGAAGGCGGCGGAGAGAAATCGCGACGCGGGTGGGTCCGCGCGCCATCGCTTTAATAGTGGAACGCCGCGGAAGGTGGAAACACGTGTGCATGCGCCGCGAGACCTCTTTTCTTTTCCCTTTCGAGCGTCCCACTGCCAGCCGCCGACCAACCCCCGCGACTAATTCCAGGCTTCTCGGCCCCACCGCCTCTGTCAGCTCCATTATACCCTTCCGGCGCGAAGGTTGATCGCTGAACGAAGGTTGGGTGAGGCAAGGGTGTCATTTGAACGGGTGCTGTATTGGAAAAGTTTGCAGGTAGATCGCGGGGCAGGATTTGGAATTTAAAGCAGGCTTTCCCTCTTACTCGTGTCCTTCGTCCCCTCGCCATTTTTAATTCCACTTTCTGCTTCGGATGCAAGATTCGCAGCAGTCCTGAAAGCGGATACCCCCACGCGCGTTGGTACCGCTTCGACGAGTGTCACGCGATAACGGGAAACAAAATTTCCTCGATCGTCGATGCGTCGAGATTGATCGCTGGCTAATTTAATTCCCAAGGGGTAAACGATTCGAGGGGATACGCAGTCGCTTCGTTTAACCGGCATATACGAAATTGCCAACGCGCCTTTCGTGTACTCCGATTCATTTGTCCACGCGGTAGGGGGAATTCAATCTGTTAATTTCATTTGCAAAGTTTCGTACGGTTTGAAACGTACACTGCTCTTAAGAGAAGGACCACTTTGACGACGTCGTCAAGATTCAAATTGAAGCAGCGCGGGGAGAGCCGGGGAGAGAAAGCGGGAGCAGGAGGGAGAGCAAAATGGACGCGCCGGCTGGATTTCCCTAGGACGCAAATAGCATTTCCACGGAGTACCGGCGGCGGTCAACCGAGTCACTTACGCTTTACAGTATCTTGCCGGAAATGCAACGTGCTCTCCCCGGTGTACCTACGTCGGAGGATGTCGCCACGGAGAGACGTACAAACAGGTTTTACGGCCGGCCTTTC